GAATGAATACTTGATAGTAGACCTCAAAGCTAGGGGAATCCTAGAAAAAGAATGTAGTCTAATTTATGTGGCTGCTGGCACAATGATTTGCAGGATTCATCTCTTAATTTCATAACTTATTTTATCAAATGCGATACAACTTGAATCAAGTTACCTACGAAGATTTGGAACAAAGAGGAAAACTTTTCCTAGAGTAGAATAATCTTGAGAACTGGTATTGGTTGTCCATGAAGGGTGGAGGTCTAGTGGGTTAAGGATGAGAGGAAATTTCATTTTGCAAGGAAGTTAAACAAGACAGAAAAAACACTTTCCTGCTCTTCACATCATGATGGATGATGAACAGGCTGTATTTTTCTATTGCTGTATTCACCAGGAAGTAGCAAGAGGAAGAGGCACTGTGATTGGGAGCTCAGTAGTGGCTCTATTTACCTTCAGAGATTCGGTCCAGCACAACCTAGAATCAGGTTGATTTAAAAGTCAGTGCAGCATTCTTAAGACAGGGAGCACAGAAGGGAATTAGAATAATGGACTTGCTGCTAAAGGAACCATGTGGTGGTCCCTGAATAAGGAGTCATCAGGGAGCTATGTCCAAGTGTGCTTTTTTCCACAATGATTTCTTGGCCATGACACATCATAGGCACAGTTCCTGTAATACAGGATTGAGGATACAGTGTTGGCAGCATAAAAAAGAGGAGACCTCTCTGCCAGGACATAAAATGATACCCTCCCTTTGGATCCTGCTTCAAATAGTGGGACTCACAGAGATGAGACCATCTAGCTGGATTTTTATGATAGTCTCTTTATGATTTTATAAATAAAGAAAAAGATCCATGTTGCTGGAGGGAGACTCAAGTCCTAGGAACACTGGCAAGAGAAGAAAACATGGCTTTACCTTAGGAAAATTTAGGAATCAGTTTTGAAGGTGAGAGGATTCAGGTATAGGGGAAAATGCTGGGATCTAGCTATTGAATTGAATTCATCTTGGTTAAAACAAACAAACAAAAAAATTTATTTCCTTTTATTCTCACTGCAGGTAAGTACACTTTCCTGCATGCAGGTGCGAATTCAAATCTTGAGAGAATTGTTCTGGTCCAAGACATAGAATATAATCAAGAAGCTCTGGTTTGTAAAGGACTTAGTTCAATTCTGTACCTTTTCTTGCAAAGACGCCCAACACCTGGGTACGAGCCCTTGCCAGGATATCCCTTACACTTGTGATTATGTAGTGCCAGATCACTCAAGATTTCTGAATTCTGCTTTTGTTTGTAGCCATGAATTTGGTTTTATGCCTTGCTAGAACACATGGTGTTCACATTCTTTTTCTGCCATATCAATAAATGCTGCGGTTGATTTCCTATGAGTTT